CGCCGATCCTCTCACTAACCTTACCAAGGCCGACGTGGAGTTCAAGTGGGAAACGCCACAGCAACACGCTTTCCAGGAGCTTAAACATCGCCTCCAGACGCCTCCGTTACTTGCCCATTTCGACGAATTCGCCGAGACAGAAATACATACTGACGCAAGCAGCGTAGGTCTTGGCGCCGTTCTTGTGCAGAGGGCTGACGGACTTGAAAGGGTTATTAGTTACGCCAGCCGATCGCTATCCAAAGCAGAAGCAAATTATTCCACAACAGAAAAGGAGTGCCTCGCCATCATCTGGGCTACGTCGAAATTTCGCCCATACCTCTACGGCAGGCCCTTCAAAGTTGTGAGCGACCACCACGCCTTGTGTTGGCTAGCCACTTTGAAGGACCCTTCAGGTCGCCTCGCACGATGGAGCCTGAGACTTCAAGAATATGACATTACTGTCATTTACAAGTCCGGCAAAAAACACTCCGACGCCGACTGTCTCTCTCGTGCGCCTGTCGACCAACCGCTACCCGACGACCCGGATGACGACTACTTCTTGGGAACGATCACTACCGACGACTTTGCTGAACGACAGCGGGCCGACCCGGAACTTAAGGCCCTAATAGAATACCTCGAAGGCAGGACCGCCGAAGTCCCGAAGGTATTCAAGCGCGCACTTGCGTCGTTTTTTCTACGAAGCGGTCTTTTACAAAAGAAAAACTTTTCACCGCTTCGGGCTAAGTACCTCCTTGTGGTGCCTTCAGCTCTGCGACCAGAACTCCTGCAGGCCCTGCACGACGATTCGACGGCAGGGCACCTCGGTGTTTCTCGCACGCTCGCGAGGATACAAGAAAGGTACTACTGGCCGCGTCTTACCACCGACGTCACTCGTTATATGAGGACATGCCGGGACTGTCAGCGACGCAAGACACCGCCGACAAGGCCAGCGGGACTTCTGCAGCCAATAGATCCACCTTGCCGACCTTTCCAGCAGATTGGTATGGACCTACTGGGGCCGTTCCCGACGTCGGCTTTCGGAAACAAGTGGATCGTGGTAGCTACCGACTACCTCACCCGCTACGCCGAGACAAAAGCCTTGCCAAAAGGCAGTGCATCCGAGGTAGCTAAGTTCTTCGTCGAAAATATCGTCCTACGTTACGGCGCCCCGGAGGTCCTTATCACCGACAGAGGAACGGCATTCACTGCCGACTTAACTCAAGCGATCTTGGCATACAGCCAAACAAACCACCGCCGGACGACAGCGTACCACCCACAGACCAACGGCCTCACCGAGCGGCTTAACAAGACGATCGCCGACATGCTGTCAATGTACGTCGATGTCGAACACAAGACGTGGGACGCCATTCTTCCGTATGTCACCTTCGCATACAACACGGCGGTGCAGGAGACGACGCAGATATCTCCATACAAATTGGTCTACGGAAGGAGCCCGACAACGACGCTCGATGCCATGTTACCTAACGTCACCGACGAAGAAAACCTCGATGTGAGCGACTACCTTCATCGCGCCGAAGAAGCCCGACAACTTGCGCGGCTCCGTATCAAGAATCAACAGACGACCGACAGCCACCGTTACAACCTTCGACGACGCTTCGTGGAATACCAGCCCGGTGAACGTGTTTGGGTGTGGACGCCGATACGCCGACGTGGACTAAGTGAAAAGCTTCTGCGACGGTACTTCGGACCGTACAGGGTGGTTCGACGTCTCGGCCCACTTGATTACGAGGTTGTCCCCGACGGCATCACGAACTCTCAACGACGCCGATCGCGACCTGAAGTCGTCCATGTCGCACGCCTAAAGCCGTTTCATGCGCGTTAACAAACTGAAACAGTGCTTTTTTTTGTATTATTGTTGTATTGTAATTTATTCATTGTACTTTCTTGCATTATTATTATACCTCCATCTTTAGTTAAAGCATCGAGACGATGCCTTTTTCAGAGGGGGGAAATGCCACGTTCCATTTCCCAAGCTTTTGTTATCGTCCCAAAACACCACACGATTCTCAGCGCAAACCGCGCCTGCAGTTTTCGAGAGGGTTCCGGACTGTAGTAGATCATTTCGATAAGATCACGCCCACTGTGCGAATGGTACAGATTGTTCTGGAACGTACGCCGCCGCCAGCGGTAGCGCTAGAACATTCGACGGCGGGAGTATAAATGCCGACGCGCTTCGCCGCTTGTCAGTTGTTGATCGAAGGCCGACGCTCCGTTCGCCGCTATCAGTCCGAGACTGCTATCTGTGCGAGACTGCTGCTGTAATTGAACTTTCCGTTTACCGGGCACAGGTTCGCCCAAATAAACAGTTAAATCCCAACACGAAGTCTCCTGTCTTCCGCCACGTCACGACCCCGTGACAATATCGTCAGAGCACCAGAGAACTTTGGAATAAACAGGATCAAACTGTCGCAGTGGATTCACTCAGTACTTAGATATACAATCTCATTAATGACAACAGCAGAGTAGCCGAACACAGCCTTCTGCAGAGTGATGTGCTTACTCAATGTAAGAGGCAGACTTTTCACCCTTTTCCCCCACCCCCCTCCTGTGCTCACACATAAGAGCAGCAGTACAGAAGTTCCACCATGTTCCCACTCCTTGCCTGTTGATATCGCCTTGGCTTTTTTTCCCGTGTGCTAGAAACCTAAAAACATCACCTCATTTTGATTTTTCTTGTTCGCACCTCTAATTTCTTTAGCCTCTTCTGTCTGCTTCCTAGAGAAAATAGAGGGGACAACACTAGGTTTTAGGTGCTGCCATTTTGCTGACATGTCGAACTTCAGCAACAAAGGGGGGCTCGTCTCATAGTCACTATCTTCGATGTGTTCGGAACACAAGAAGTCACGCTTTGAAGGCACCCACGTTGGCTCCGATAAATACAAACAGCAAGTTTGTCGGCGCAAACGCAAGCTCAGCTAGAGAAAGAATTTTTACGACTGAGAGCTACTGCGTGGCAATGGCATCATCGGCTGTCAGCTGAAAACACATTTTGAAAAAGACGCGCAGAGGCGGGCGGCTGGGCCTGCTGCGGTGGCGGCTTTCCATATCAATTGGCAAGCGATGTTGCAGCGAGCACGCTTTGTGTGTCAGTATCCGGTGAGTTCCACGTAACTGCCTGTCTAGTTCACTGGGCGGCTGCTAGACGCACCAAATTACAAAAAAAAAAAAAAAAAATGCGGTAAATTCATTATTTTCTGCAACTCCCTGGCTGAAATGAAGCACCCAATCTTTCAGTAGGGCCAATAATCGCAACGGCAGAAATTTTGTTCAGTATCCCTTTAATTACTTGGTGGTTAATGCACAGTATGTTTAGTGTGTTCCCGGCAGGTTGTCGGCATGTATGTGCATATTTACGAGGTTTTTAAGTATTGAGCCTTGAATGTGTATGTGTGCACTGCTATAAACTTCATGTGGCAGCGAGCTTGTTGGTTAAATATCCCTCCCTCTCTTATGTCATTGCTTTTGTACATATTCCTACTTTTGTTTATTTTTGTGCTTATATTGTGAGCTTTCGGCTTCTGTATAAATGGTTATGTAAATTGCGGAAACATTAAACTCAATATAAAGCTCAATTTTCTTTTTCTCTGTGTGTCATGGAACGCTTGTGTGTGCTTCAAATACAGACGTAGCTACTCTAAAAGCAGATTTTGTCTGCTACAATGGTTTCTCCGAAATTATGAAAGGAATTCCCATTACTGTGATTAGTATAGGTGGCATAGCTTCAAAAGTATGAAAGGCAGTCGTCGGTGTAGGAACAACCGAGATAGCTGAGAATTTCTCAGCAAATGTGCGGTTAAAAACTGTGGCGCGAGCATCTGATGAAATGGAGTCACCAGAGGAATCAGTCAGCATTAGAATGTCATTGGTTGAAGGATTGATAGTTTGCCACAATTTTTTAACATTAGTGGTCAACATGGAGGGCAGTACATGTGAATGAAAATGATTTTTTGCATCTCGAAGGGCTTGAATGTGCTATGCAGACGGTATTTTGTGTAAAGCCCAGCAATCGCTAGTAGGCAAAAACTTTTGGTACGAAAGGAACTTTTTTCTGTTTGATAAACCTCTGATACGGCTGCTGTAGCAGGAAGCATTCGAGCTGTTGGTTACGATATGGTGTGGGATGTATTGATCAGTGAGCTGCGTGATTTTATCTGAAAGCATGTTCCAGTTAGTTTTGACACTTTCATCATCGAAATCGCCAAGAAAAAGATCGGTGAAATTAGAAAGTTTATTGTTGATCGCCTCAAAGTTACCGCCGTTGTAGTCATGCAACATTTTTTCTTTTTGTTTGTTCTTGGGCAGGCGAATTTAATGCCAAAATATAGGAGTAAATGATGAATAAGGCCTGTCAGGCAGATTAAGGGCAAAATTATATCTGTACTGTTTTGCCCCGCCGCGGTGGTCTAGTGGCTAAGGTACTCGGCTGCTGACCCGCAGGGCGCGGGTTCGAATCCCGGCTGCGGCGGCTGCATTTCCGATGGAGGCGGAAATGTTGTAGGCCCGTGTGCTCAGATTTGGGTGCACGTTAAAGAACCCCAGGTGGTCTAAATTCCCGGAGCCCTCCACTACGGCGTCTCTCATAATCATATAGTGGTTTTGGGACGTTAAACCCCACATATCAATCAATCAAATCAATATCTGTACTGTTTGTTAGCATTAAGTTTAGTGTGTTTGAAGCATGCGCTGCTATTCTTGTTGCTTGTGTACACATTTGCTCTAATAAAAATTTAAGCATAATAAAAATTAATCAAGCATTTAAGAATTCGTGAGCTTGGGACAAGCACGTGGGCATCTCACGCCCACGTGCTTGGAAGTTGTTTACATTGTCCGAGAAGTTTGCAGCCATTACTGATCCATCAATATTCTTAGGCAATGTAACCAACTTTTTACCAAGTGACTTCACCTGGCTGTACTGTGAACCCACCCCTTATTTAATACCCCCTTGAGGGGTCTTTAAGAAAATTAGGTGATGTGATGGTGTACACACTGCCTTGCAGGGAAGCCTTTACACACTTGGGCCAACGAGAGCGGAGCTTGCAGCATTGCCTGAGGCAGGCAGACGAACGTGCAACACATTTGCAACATGATCTTGAGCAAGCTGGCCTCAGGATCGCTAAGTGTAAGGCTGTGCTGTGAAACAGTTCTCCACAATATCAGTAGCTATGCTTAAGTTCAAGCGGATATTCAGTTCACCTTTACTTCCTTCAGAGATCCCATTCGGGGTGTTACAGTACTGGGAAGATAAGAAAATTGGGGGACCCTTAAGCTTCGCCGTTAAGTTTCATTTATCATACCCTCAGGGTCAAACAAGGCTTCACAGAGTGGAGTGGTTCACATGAAGACGATTGTACAGCATAGGGATGAAATACAAAGCATAAATAGCATTGTAAAGCATAAATAGGGATGAAATACAAAGAACGAAAAAATAATGAGAAAACCTCTACAAAGCAAAAAGTGAAGGCAAGTGATACTATGCATACAAACATAAAAAAAACGCAAGAAAAACAGATGTACAGGGTGTACGGGTGAACATATGACATTCTAGTTAGCAATGCTGCTTAAGGCAATATGAAACAAAGAGTTATTACTAATAAATAAATGTTTTGTGGAAAGTGGTTCCACTCTAGTGACGTCTGAGGAATGAATGATCGACAAAATGTGTTTGTGCTGCTAGAAGGAATGTGAACCTTATGAGAATGGTCGATGCGACGCGATACATAGTGTAGATTATGAATAAGTGCATGATTTGAGCACATTAGTGATATTCTGTTCCTAGTGCTTACTTCAAGCACTTAGTGTATAAAATCTTTTCGAACTTGCTATGCACCCACTACATGGCCTTAAATGTGCAGTAAGGTGTGTGCCTTTTGTAGTGGGCGACTTGCTTTAATCTATAAGTCATTATGATAATCCCATGTTGTGACACCCGATAGCAATGTACGGTTGTACCATGCATTATTACGGCAATATTTCATGTTGTATTGTGAAGCATATATACGGGGCGTGTCTGTTTGTAAAGCATGAATGTTGCTTTCACTACATTTCCAAGCAGAGGCGTGGCTGTGTGGTAGAACACCCGCTTGCCCACAAACGACCTGGGTTGGATCTCCAGTCAAACCTAGAATTTTTCATTACGTATTTTATTTGCATCTATCTAACTTTTTTGATCATGCGAAGATGGTGATTTTTCGCTCCCATATAATGACCCCCACACCGGAATTATTGCAAAGCGAGCTTTTTAACGCTATTCCGTTAATGTTGAAGGAGTGCTTCCTGCAATCCTATTACATCCCTTAAATATTATGGGGCGAGATCTGACCAAACTCTCCCCTGCTGCTTACCATTGAAACTCTTCTGGCTCTCAATGCTGCTGGCAGTTTAGAGCTGGGCTAGTCGATATTCGCGGCGAGATCGGGCTACAGGGGGCAGCACTGTTCCACACAAGTGTGGATAGGCGGTCGGCGGCGCGTATGCCAATACACGTTGCGGCGCTTCGTTGCATGCGGTTTGAGCCGATTGTCGACAGATAAAATGCATTGACTACTGTTTGTTCATGTCTACGCTCCTCTCTAATGAATTGGTGCACGACGCCTATTCAATGTTACGTTACCCACCAGTAAAGCGCGTTCTGCCTTTCACAGGGATGCTCACCCTGGGTGACTCTCTTCACGCTTTTCCACTGAATCACGCTCGCCTTTGCTGTGTTGTTGGTACATAGTAAGCTTGTGTTCCGCCTGCTACGGACTACTGTAGCATCACTGAACAACTTATTCACATCTTTGTCATTTGCATACTACAAAAAAGAGAGAAAGAAAGACCACAGAAAGCCCGCATATCTGTGCGATTAGTTCAGTACTACCGTTCGCACTTTTACGTATGCCAACTTTTTTCTCTCATTCTGTCCACCATGAAATGTGGGACAGTCAATAAGTCTAGTCAGAAAAGCTTAGTGGCTGACAGCGCTTTGCGCTACTCTGCGTTTACCACGTGTACCCACATGTTTTCACACCAGTAAAAATCTTATATAAGAGTTCAGCAGAAAGCTTTTATCCATGGATTACGTGCATGACGGTACTACAACAAAAGCCTGGTTAATGGGACAAGCATGTTTTTTTTTCCACACCAAAAATTACCACTGCTTTCCGTTGGTCACTAATAATGCCACACAAACTCTGAAAACAATGTAAAAAAGATGAAATTTTCAGTGTAAATATACAGCATTATATATAAGGCATGCAGTCTGAATTAATTTTCAACATCTGGGCTCTTTAAAGCGTTCTTACATCTAAGCACACGGTTGCACACGGTAACTCTGTTTTAAGTACAGTATAAGTACTGAAGTCTCATAGTTTATGTGATAGTAATATATACATAGTAATATTTCTATGTAGTGGTACCACGGTCAGATAAGCACAACTAATTCTCCTCACATGATCAATAAACTACAGTGCCATAGTTGTACACCTACTAACAGCGTGCAAGTTCATGACCTATAACCTGTTCTTTTGTTGTTTTTTTTACAACCGAGCCGCCATATAATGTTGCATTCACACTGCACTTAGTAGTCCTCATGTTTGGGAGAATGCCCAGAGCATTTTGCGATTTCAAATTTTTTTTAGATTTTTTTTTATATAAATACAAGAGTGTGACATGTGTTTGGTATACAAAAGGAGGTCCCAAAGTCAAAGACTGTATTGAGACCGCCTCTTACGGGCAAATTGTGATAGAACAGTGTTAGAGGCAACATAAGCAATGATCAAAATTATAAACTAAGCATAATTATAGCAGAACAGTGAAATATATAGGAAAACAAATATAAAATAAAACCAAATGAAATGATGAATAATGTGAATGGTATAATTAAAAAAGAATACAAGAAGCTGTAATACATGAAATGTGGACATTCAAACAAAATGGAGCTATAGTAAAGAAGAGTAAAACTAAGCATGCATCATGTGTGATTTTAGTTCTTTTTCTTATAGTGATGCAAGTTTCTTGCATTTTTAATAACAGCTGGTAGTATGTTCCAAAATGATGTAGATGAAAATTCAGCAGTTAGTTTACCATAATTAGTACATACTTTAGGCAAAAGGATGTTATTGTTATGTGCAAATCTAGTATTACTATGGGCAACAAAGTTGGAAGATGAAAAGCAGATCAGAGGTAGTGCCTTGGTTATGTATTTATATAATGTGATACCGAAGTTGTAATTCACGAGCTCTGAAATGGTCAAGATGTTGTTATCATGAAGTAGGCATTTACCGTTGGAAAAACGTGAACTGTTAGTAATGATTCTTATGGATTGGTTCTGTAGTACTTGAAGTGAAGCCAAATGAGTGTTATAGGTGTTACCCCAGCACAATATGCCATAATTAATACGAGAATGAACGAATGAATAGTAGAGTGACAGTAATGTGGCACATGTGAAGTATGGACGAGTTTTGATTAGGGCACGGATGCCGTATGCTATTTTCTTTTTTTGAGAAATATGATCTATGTATTTCAAGTTAGAGTCGAGAGAAATTCCAAGAAAAGAAGGGCAGGGATTGGGAAAAATAGAGTGCAAGCGAAAAGTCAAAGAAGGAAAGGATGCTGAATATTTGTGCTTGAAACAGAAAGTGTCACCCACTCTGAAATTATTCCAATGAATGGAGGGTACGAGGATAACAAACAGTGCAAAGTCCCACGCACCGATCTTATTGCAATGCATTAGCAGCCGAGCAAGACCAAAGTCTTTCGTATGTCATTTCAGGCATGCATAGAAACAGTTACACTCGAGTTGACATGAGCAAACAAACCACACTTTGAGAGAGTGCATGACGTACGAGCACATAGAAACACGATGTGGTTAGGAGACGATGTAAGGAGCAATCCACACTTCACTGTTTTGGCCAGTTGCCGCCAGGCGGCGACTCTGCTCGATCTCACAGTTATTTTGGCTGCATTATATACCAGAATTGCTATGTAATTCTGCATAGTGCCATGTTTCCTCACATAATGGTCGCCCTTCCCTTCTTGGAAAGTTGAGAGACCTCAGCGGTTACAGTGGACAATAAGGAAGTGTGGTCCGATAATTCCTTTTCCCATCTGCATCCTCTTTTACACTAGTAATCTTATTATCGTCGATACCGACTAGCCCAGTTCAACTAAGAATACAATTTTATGCTGGCCTTTTGGGGTTTGACATTTTGGAAATAGAATGCAACAGCATGTCGGAATTCAGGTGACGACTGCCATGAGCCAAAGATTGAGGCTGAGCTAATCCTGCCTTTATAATAAAGGTACGCATCAACATTGTAAAATAGACTGCTCCTTGAATAGCATTGAAGAAACGAGAACAGTAACATGGGTGAATCGTTTAATGAGTACACTTTAAAGATTTTGCAGTGCTAGCACCCAAGTGCTAAAAGAAAAGTGATGCAGTGAGATTAAAAAAGCAAGGAGAGATGCACATGAGCCTGTTTGCGTTTCTTACTTCGCTCAGTCTCTTTTTTTTTTCAGCACTTTCGTGCTTGCATAGCAAACTATTTGAAACCTCCATCGCAAGAACAGCGCCTGAAAAAAATGCAAATAAAAGAAAGGGGTGGGCTTAAAAGCGCCATTAGTATGGCATCTATGTCATCAGTATGGTGCCATTAGTATGGCAATTCTTTAATTCTTAATGTTAAAGCACATTAATTTCAACTTCACCGTGCCCAAAAAAGTAACTCTAATTACCATGGATGATAGGAAAAGAGCTCTAATTTGTTAAGCAACTAGAGGTCACAGTTCTCTCGCTTTCTTTCTGCCAGTGTTATCTTCAAATGGCTTGGAAACTGAATGATTGAATGAATAAATGAATGAATGAACACTGGGTGCATTACCTTTTCATTTCCATCCTTTTCGGATGCAGGGGCTGCATTGAAAGGTAGGGAAAATAAAATATAAGGTGGAAGGGCAAAGACAGGTGAAACAAAATTTGCTATGCATGTGAACCTGCAATTATTTATTGCCATGGCAATTTTTGCATGGGCCCCTTCTGGCTCTGCTATAGTCACGAGGAAAATTTCGCTCATCTGCCATATCTTTCTTTTTTTTTTTAAGAACTACGTGATGGTAAGCATCAGCAAACTGACAGCT